GGTTGATCTATAAAGACCCACCCACTGCCATCGAGTCAAGTCTGACGCACAGCCACCCTGTAGGACAGAGTCGAAATGCCCCACGGGGTTGCCATGGCTGTCAGTCTTCCCGAACCACACTAGCCCAACTTTCTCCTGTGGGGGGGGCTGCTGCCGACCCCCGGCCATCAGCTGAGCTCTGGAACCACTGTACCACCAGGCCCCTCAGTTGATATATACGCCACGTGGTTTCAAAGAGTTCATGGAAAAATTCCATTGTCTTGTAATTCCACTTTTCAGTGAACTTTTTGAAGCCCCCTCCATATAAAGAGGATAGAGGGCCTTCAAATCCCAGCTAGAATCAGACCAGCAGGATGCCTGCTCTGATCTTGGGTGACAGCCTCAGCGCTTTGTGGGTAATGGGGTGCTGCATGGTCCATCGTAAAAACTGGGGCTCCTTTTTTTCTTTAAGACATGTATGTATGCGTTTGCCTGTGTGTTTGTAGCAGGGAGGAAACGTCTGTGTCCTTAGAAAGTTCGTTGTCAGACAGCTTCCCAGATTTAAATCTGAAAACCAGGACCTGGGAAATCCTGAAGAGGCTCAAGCATCACGTTGCTTTGTAGAAGTGATAGAAGTAACAACAAGCGCAAAGGTAGGGGCCGAAGACCTGGAGCTCGGCATCTCCTCTGACCTGCCAGATCCTTCTCCAAACCCTGGAAAAGTCTGGGCATTTCTTTCTTGAGGACCTAAATTCAGTGTGCTCAAGCAGAGGAAAATTAAGCTCTTACGTTTGTCACTTTCTTTCCCGTGTATCAGGAGTTTATATTTGTTGGAAAGAGCAAAAACAACAACACACGTTTCAGCTGGAGCTTGTATGTTTGAGACCCACTCCACCCCCATCCCACCGTTTGCACCTGGGAACGGATACTGGGATTCAGGGTGCTGCTTTGAATGGCTGCATGTCACAGAAGTCTCCCCAGGGAAATGGAAAACAACAAAGCAACACCATCTCTTGTTTTCACGGAGCTCCCTGCCCTCTCTCCGAGTTCCCAAGGCAGCTGTGGTCACCCCACCCACCTCTGCCCTCCTGGATGTCCCAGCAGCTGCCACTGAGATTGAATGTGCTGTCCTTTCTTTGATACAGGTTTTCAAAAGCGATACATTCTTACAACTTGTAACTTGGTCATATTTTATATTAATCGCCTTTAATAAAGCCATTTAAAATATGCTGGATGTGTATATTTGGGGCTTCTGCTGGAATCGGGAAACCTTTGGGAACCCAGGAGAACAACAACAACAACAGGAAAAAGGATTAATATGAGCTAGGGCTAATTTGACACACCCCATCCTGCACCATTTTGACAGGAGGCCCTCTAGTGGGGAGTGGGAGGCACTGTCCTGGAGGACTGGTGAAATGGAAGCTTCCAGAAAATCTCCCAAAGACTTGGCCCACGGAATGCTTTCTTGCTGGTCAGGTGCAGGGTGAGTTTGCTTGGCCGGGTGGCAGCGGAGTTTTAGTAGAAGAGGTGCAGACTGAAGCAGAGCCAGCCAGGCCTACCCAATTCATTACAGTACATGTGGTAAATTACCAGTTATAGATCAAGGAGAATGTTTAGATGCCAATTTTACATAGCAAGTAAGTTTTTAAGCAAAAACGATTCATCCAGTTAACAGATGTCTCACGTGTACCTCCGGGATCAGCTATTTATTTTAAGAATCATTTTTGGGGGGTCTTGTACAACTCTTATCACAATCCATACATCCATCCATTGTGTCAAGCACATTTGTACATATGTTGCCATCA